ATATAGTATGGAATTTATCCACACTTTGCACTTCCGTTCATATACGATTCACTCAAATTTTTTCAAAATTTATAGGTTATGCTATACAATAAGTTAAATTACTAGATGTCACTAGATGGCAATTAAATTGATTAAATTTGAAAAAAATGACATTACTTACGAGTACCCCTAATATCATTTGAACCGGTGAATTATAATTTTACGATTTTAGACAGATTTAATTAGTCGATGATGTAATTTGTAAAATTTACTCGTGAAATTCGGTCTGTTCCATTAGCAGGGCTGTAACTATTCCGCAAGGGAATTTATTAATGATGGTAATTTGTAACTCGTGATACGTAGCTTTGAGGCATAAATACCATTCGGCAGCGGGATCACATTATGGAGGCCGTGGAATTGAATTTCGAGCCATTCATCTTTGAGCGTGGTATTATTTGACATATAGTGCTGGAAATAATATATCGCTGATTGGCATCGGCGTATTAATTGGTTGCGATTTCAATCGCCATTAAACTTTCTAAATGGACGATGATTTGAAACGTTTTGGTAACTCGAAGCGGTTAATTCGTCTGATCGAAGTGATTTATTGTTTATTGCTGGCAAATCGAATCGGCTGGGACAGGATTCAAACTCTCGCTCTCTCTCTCTCTCTCTCTCTCTCTCTCTCTCTCTCTCTCTCTCTCTCTCTCTCTCTCTCTCTCTCTCTCTCGGTATCTGTCATTTGCCGGCTGAATGCCTCGGCCGATTAAACTGTTCCAATCGGCCACAAATCCTTTTTCTGTAAGCTTGATATTGACAGTACAGTTATCTGCACGCTGACATATATTTAATAAAGCAGCACAAACCGGGGGAAGATAAAGGGACGCGAGAGATGTAATAAATAATGAATCTCTTCCTTCATTCTGTAATATATTAAAATATTTATTCAAATTTTTTATGATGGTTTATGGTTGTGCGACGAAAATATAAAAGTAACGTGAAAAGTATTACGAAAAAAAAATATATATATATGTATGTATATATGTATCGTTGCAAATTTTTTATCAAATTTTTTAGATTTACTAGTTCGAGCGTGAAAATTACGACTTTTTTCACTCTCTAGTATTAAAATACGTAATTTCTAATATTTAAAAAACGTAAAAAATAATACCAAAATATGTATCATTTCAGAATTTATCAAATTATATATATCGTTGTAAATTTTATCAAATTTTTAAGGTTTATTAAATCGAGCGTGAAAGTTATAGCAAATAATGAATCTATTTGTTCATTTTCTACTTAAAATTAAAATACATAAATTTGTAATATAAATGAAAAAAATTAAAAAAAACGTGAAAAATAGTACGAACATATATATACAAATATATCATTTCGAAATTTATCAAATTTTTAAAATTTACCGATTCGGGCTTCACCGAGCCCAAAAAGGTGCAACTTTCCATGATTATCGAAAGATAATCGTACACTCGATAGAAAAGCAAAATCACGGTCTGCGTTTCGTCTATTCCCAATCCGATAAATTTCATCTTCTCTGTATCTAATAACAAGCACAATTCGCACCAGTCTATGTATTACCAGTCTAAGTATCAGCCGATCTCGGAGCTTCTCCCTGCATCCGTTACGTAACGAATCGAGCAAACAGGTTGTTCGAAATCTTATCCGTCGTCGTTTATAATTGTCAGAATCGTCGACGAGTCGCCGTTGGATCGACCAAGAAGAGAAACGAGCGTGGAGAGGGAGCGAGCGAGCCGGCAATTTGGAAATTGCACGCTTCGAGGCGAGCGTACGGGAACTTTGGACGAGGGGGAAACTCGATCTAACATTGATTATTCGAAAGTTGCGAATTCGCAACGGTTGAAACGGCGTCGATTTATTCGGCGGAAGTGCTCGGACGGGCATACCGGTGGAATGCTGGGAAAATGGAGAGAGGAAAGAGGGGGAAGAGGAGGGGAGGGGGGGGGGGAGGACGAAGTTGACATTGCAATTACACGAACGTCGATATAGGGTTGCAAAATTAATTTAGCGACGAGCTAAAACGCTTTGGAGCTCTTGTTCGCTATCGCTTCGCCGGCGATTCTATCCCGGGAAAACACGCGATAAACTCGTTTTCGCCGTGGGATGATTTAATTCTAATTCCGGGATTAACCACTCCGACCCAGCATAATTCGCGCGTGCATGCACTCTCGTTTTCCTCCGGTGGGATGGTATTGTGAGAAGTATCGAAACGCTAGCCGAATGTGTTATAATTCCGATAATTCTGTTATCCAATTATTCTGTTGTTTTAGCGGCGGGCGGTGCCTCGCTAATCTCGTTTTCGAGATTTATAGAAACCTAGTAGTGATTAGATCTCGCGTAACGAGAAAACAGGCCCCCGAGGTTAGAAAATGGCGGAGAAACGTACAAACGCGTCCTCGAAGACATCCTCGGTTTCGACCTGCATTTAGTGCATGCTTCGTAACTTCGGGTGACTCGAGGCGCAAAGGAGTAGCAAGTCGACGCTAACGAAGATACTAAAAAGTTCGTTTCACCCAGCGAATGGCTGAAGATGCAATTAAAAATGGATGAAAGTGCAAATGATTGCAAAGCGGAACGAACCGTTTCACCGAAAATTCCTTCGTCCGTTCAACCAGTCGTGTTTTTCAATTAGATCCTCGAACGTACACAGGGTTCAAACGAATTCATTTCGCGTTGCAGAGGAAAATCTTTCTGTCTTCAACTTTTTCCATTAGCCACTTTCTCGCCTCTCTCTCTCTCTCTCTCTCTTTCTCTCTCTTTTACACCGTGAGCCCTGTCCTCGTCTGAAAAGTTTCGTCGAGCGTGTCTTTTGACATGGAAAAAAAGTAGTTTCCTTCCGCGAGGAAAAACACTCGCTCCCCCCTCCCCCCAAGAGGGTTACAATCCGAGAAGAAATTAAACCGGTAATGTTATTTAGGCGAAAAACTGAGGCGTGAAAAAGCGAGGATCGCGCTCAGCCTCGCGCGACACGGTCGCCTCTGCTTCTCTTTCTCGCTTCCATTCGCTCGCGCGCCCCGCCATTATACGACGCTGTAAACTCTTTGTACAAGTTGCGTTCACGGTAGCGAATTTAATTTACTCTCCCCTATCCCCTGCATTAAGCGTGCAGCGCGCGTCCGCGTCACCGAACCCATTGTACCAGCTATGAAAACACGTATACAACGCGTACCTAGTGGCTGGCCAAACGATCGCTCCAGAGGTATACACCTCGTATACGAGACGTTTCTTCGGTGATTAACCGAAACTTCCTCGAACCTTTGAGCGTGCTTTTGAACTTGAAGGTTTGGCGAGTTTCCCGCGTACGCTCGCCGCAGGAAGAGCTCGCTCCACGAGCAAGCGTTCTCTCAATTTGTAATTTAGTGATGGAGCGGAATGCAAGCTTCTTTTTCTTTTTTTTTTTTTTTATGAGAATCGTGCAATGTACAAACGAACGTTCCAAAGGTTCCGAAAATAAGTACTTCCCTGGAGCGACTAAATTTTTCTGCTTAACCCTCGAATAACCGACGTAAATGAGGGATTCGGCGAGCCGACACCGGCTCATTTTTGACCCATAGCTGAATTTTTACTGTACTTGTCTTGCACCTAACTTTCTGGTACAGGATGTTATCTAACAATGTTTGTAATATGGGAAGGAGAGGAGTTTGTTCAAAAAGTGTAAAATTCTATAAACATATTTTTTGGTCATGTGCACTGCGTTACGTACATGTTCTTTGCATATAAATTTCTAAACATTTGGCACGTTTGGTACCATAGATACTATCATTGCCTATACATAGCATCAAGTTCTGGGTCAACGGTGACTCAGTGTCGGCTACGCGAGGGTTAAACATCGGCTTGTACGTGTACACACACGTCGAAGGATAAATCGACCACTGCTATCTCAGGCGCCGTGCGCTCTTCCACTTACGTGCGTGGCCATCTTTTTTCTTTTCTTTTTTTTTTTCCATCGATGGAAAGAATCGTAAGGCGACGAGCGTGCGGAAAGCGATTCCACGACCGTGAATTTCATCGAAACGAGGGCATAAATAACAAATCGGCGACACCGACGCGTATCTGGCTCCCGCTGGGCTGAATTTCACCCCGGCCCCGATAATTAATCGATATCGTGAAATTACGAGCTCGATATTATACCAGCACTCTCGCGCACGCATACAATGTGATACAACGATCGAGGAGCCGCTGGTGGAGGATCGAGCCACGCGAAAGACCTCGGGATTAATGAAGATGCGGCAGCGAAATCCAAAGATGCAATTACTGACAGAACAAATCGGGGGGTAATCTTGATTACGATCTACATCTGCTCCCGTACGTAACATCTCGGATTGCTAATTAATCGAGGTCCCTCTCTCTCTCTCTCTCTCTCTCTCTCTCTCTCTCTCTCTCTCTCTCTTTCTTTCTGCTCTTGCTTCATCGACGTTTGTTGCTCTTTTACTGGTCCACCTGGCCGCGCGAGGTATCGAGACGTTATCTTTTACATTAATACCGTAATAAACCAAGCAGAGGCGTTCATCGACAGTGTGTACCACGGTGCAAAAACCGACCACCGTATGTTCTGGAATCTCGCAAAAAACGACCGAAGACACGCGAAACAGCGTGGCTACGACGTGTTAACACAAGGAATGCAGTCCAATTTTTGCGCTAAGCGCAAGCTTGGCAAGTCGCCATCTACGTGCGCGTCATTTCATATCGGTCCTTTCCTCGCTGATCTCTTTCCTTATCTTGTCCACCCTGTCTTCCCCTTCTCCCTTCCCTGCCCTTCTTTTCTATTTCCCGCGCGCGGTACGAAACCCGCGTGTTGTTTCTATTCAGTTCGCGTCCTCTCGCGATGATATCAAAGAAACGCAGATGCCTTCTCGCGATAATTCCCCTCTCGTGACAATTTCGCGCGATTGGCTGGGCCACACCTCCTCTTTTAATGTTGATAATTTCTTTCGTTCCGTTGCTTTTTCATTCGCGCTTCTAATTAAAACGCGCTGTTTCAGGTAACATCAAGACCAAGGCGGTGCTAGACGTGGAGTCGAAGAGAGGATACTGGCTGACGGTGTACGCGCAGGATCACGGCGTGGTTCCTCTGAGCTCGAGTTTACAGGTTCGTCCGACTCGAAAGAGGACGCGTACATCACGCGTGCTTTTAATATATCACGCCGTCCTGGGAAATATTTTCGCCCGACGAAACTTTGCATTATCAACGGAACGACGAAAGTACAAACATGCGGGGTTTGCAATTACAGCGAATATACACTTTCCAAGTTACACGTCAATGTTTCAAGCCTCCCTAAAGGGGAAGAAAGGGGAAGAATGTAGCAAATTTTTGAAAATGTTTCCTGGGATATCGTAACGCTATATATTTGAAAGAAATAGACTTACAATTAGATTTTTCTCAAGGTATTGTATCAAACGTGTACGGCAAAATTTTGGCTATTTATGAATTTGGTTCCAATTTAATACGGACGATGTAACTCCATTGAAACTTGATTAAAATTGTACAATCGAGGAAAAAGATAGTAAGATGTACTTAGATATTTTTTGAAGGTATCGTTTCAAACGTATACAGTAAAATTTCTGAGTATTTATGAATTTAATACGAACGATGTAACTCCATTGAAACTTGATTAAAATTGTACGATCGAGGAAAAAGATAATAAGATATACTTAGATATTTTTTGAAAGTATCGTTTCAAACGTATACAGTAAAATTTCTGAGTATTTATGAATTTAATACGAATGATGTGACTTCATTAAAATTTGATTAAGATTAAAGACTGTACGATCGAGGAAAAAGATAATAAGATATACTTAGATATTTTTTGAAAGTATCGTTTCAAACGTATACAGTAAAATTTCTGAGTATTTGTGAATTTTGTTCGAATTTAATACGAACGATGTGACTTCATTAAAATTTGATTAAGATTAAAGATCGTACCATCGAGGAAAAAGATAGTAAGATTTATTTAGATATTTTTTAAAAGTATCAAACATATACAGTAAAACTTTTCGGTATTTATGAATTTTGTTCGAATTTAATACGGACGATGTAATTCCATTAAAACTTGATTAAAATTTAAGACTATACGGAAAAAAAAAAGTAAAATATACTTAGAATTAGACTTTTTGAAAGTATCGTATCAAAGATTATATGGTCGAGGATCTGCACTTTATCGAGGAATTTATCTGCACTTTGTCACTTGTTACACTGTACGCTAAACAGACGATCTCTTCAAAGTCTTGTCATTGTATCGGTAAAGTATCACAAGCAGCTATTTATTTCATACTTTCTACTCGCGTAAGCTCTCAACAGCGTGCAACGCGATGACTAGTAAAAAGAGCAATTTTCTCCATCGACCAGTACAAATTTTTCGTACCGCTTATCTCCTAGCATGACTTCGCAACGTATGTTACGGTATTGAGAAAAAAAAAAAAACAACAACTTTTCCGCTGAGCAACGGAAAATAGAATTTAATTTACGATACTCTCGTAATTACATATACAGATTAATAGAAATTGCGTTGGTGATTTAATACGAGCAGTAAAAATCTCATCGTGCGTACTGCGGTAAATATCGTAAACGGTATCGTAAACTTTTATATCACGTGCATTGGCAGCCGATGCTGCAGAAAGTAATCAAGACAAGGAAATGAGAACTTGCGAAACAAGATTATTATCGAATTGTTCGAAAAATGTTCACCTAGCAGCTGTGGACGATTAATACAGGATGTGACCCCGCTAATTTCTATAATTTCAACCATAAATAACTCTCGCCGTTTTCGCTTCGTTTCGCATTAAAATCAATTTCCTCGATTAAATTCATCGTCGAATAAAATGGAAGTTCGCGCGGTTCTATTTTATAACTTACGCGTTCAATAATAACCGACAGGGGAAATAAATTACTTCAAATCTATCTAACATCAATCATTCATTTCAGTCGACCATTTTATATCGATTAAAGCTCAACAACCATTATTATTTTTGAATGAAATTTAAACATATTTTATTGTAAAAGTCAATGAAGTCGGGCAATTGCAATTTAATGTTTCATCAACCGTCCAGCATTAAATGAAAAATAAAGGAGATGCTATTTGTCATGGTTACAGATACATTGTGCGTTATTATTAATAACATCATTAAACAAAATTCACAAATTTTGCTCAAAGTGCTCGACGATACAAACGTTATTTCTCGATTTTACGACAATACAGCTTTTTCAATCCATTTTTTTCACAAGCACGATCCACGATGTCGAATAATTGTTATAAATTTAGTCTTCTATCACCAATCCGATATTAAACGAAAAACAGAAAAACAGATACTACATATTTGCAATAATTATAAATACATCGTGGAACATTAAAATACTGCTAAAAAAATGAAATTCACACGTGGTGAAACTTCTGCCGTACTCGAGTTCTTCTAAAATATCCTTTCTCGGTCCGATTTCAATGGCAATGTGGCAATATTTTTTCCATTTTTTCGCAAGCACGTATGGGACGGGATCCACGGTGTCTCGTAAATAATTCACAGCCGGTTTCCGTGCAGGTGTACGTGGAGGTGCTGGACATGAACGACAACACCCCGTTGACCGAGGTTCCAGTCTACTACCCGTCGGTGTTGGAGAACTCTCCAGCAGGCGTGAGCGTTCTTCAGATCCGGGCGTTCGATCGCGACGTCTCGCCCCAACAATTCACCTTTTCCATCACCAGCGGCAATCCGGAAGGTTATTTTCTCATCAACTCCACCACCGGTAAGTTCCACATGGTCAGTCGAGAAAAGAGTCGATATCTCGTCAGAGAATCGAAATGGACGGTCTCTCTCGTCGTAACGAGATCATTATTTTGCCTTATCCGCGAAGGAGGATTTTAATGGCGACGACCGTAAGAGTAAAAGCTTTTTTTTTTTAATACATATAATTTCAATCGGAAAATGTGAATTTAATTTGTGTACCGAAATTTTGCCATAGAAAAGGTATTTGACCGTTGGAATTAGTCAGATGGATGTTAGAAACTCTCGGTTGATTTTAATTTAGCGAGAAAAAAAAGAAAAAAAAAAATAAACGCCAATAAACGTACAACTTGAACGGCAACTGCGATTACAACGTAATGGGTGGTAGTTTCATCCTCAATCTAGTTAACAATGGCATTCTGTCGCACAGATTGACCCCTGTCAGTTCTTGCGACGAGTTAAAAAGATGAAAGCTGTTTAAAGGGGCATGCACACCGTGGCGTTCGAACTCTGTTTTTTTCAATTTGCTTCCGTCGGCCGAACATCGTAACATTTGCTTCCGTTCGCCTACCTTCGACAATTCTATCGTTGCACTGGCTGAGCGTGACCCGTTACGTGTTCTCGCTGATTACGAGGGCGTAAACAGCGAAAACGAAGAGCCAGCGCCGGGAAATCACTGATTGCTGGACCCGGGCGCGGCAATTTTAACGCCTCGAGCACGGGGACTCTCCATAATATTCCAATAAACAAGATTTATTCTTGGCCGGGATCCGATATTTCCATATCGCTTAACGGTAAATTGACGATTAGAAGAAAGATTCGATTTAATGAAGACAGTAATAACCGGGGCTACTTGGCCACGATGCCGGCGCCGTTTCAAATTAAAAGTCCAATTTCACCCCTCCGGGCTCATTTGAAAGTCTGATTTAATCGGCCGGCCGGCCTGCCAAGATTATTCACCGAGGGCCCAATCGAATTTGTATCGCAAATTGTCCCGCATTAAAATCGATTCCCGCTCGTGTCTACGCGTGCCTATTTACGCGCAATATCCTCTCGCCCTTGCAACACCGTCTCCGCTCTCGCGCGCACATTGTCTCCTCTGATCGCATAACGTAGGTAACCTCCCACGATCGTTTACCTCCTTCTTTTTCTTTTTCCTCCCTTTTTTTTTCCTTCTTTCCTTTCGATAACGAGTTTCTGACTTTTCATCGTTTCGTAATTTCGCGGGCTGACGCGACTGTTCCGTCAGGAACGATGAATAATGAATCGCGCGCGGCTCGATCGGCCGAATTTGCATACGTTATCACGTAAGGCGAAAACAATGACTGCCACGCTTCTGCCACTGGCGACGCCAGTCACTTTCCGAGAGAACGTCGAAGGCGAAAGAAGAGAGGAAACTGCTAATGGATAATGATTGACGGGTTATTAATAGAGAGGAACTGCGAGGAGGCAGGGAAGTAGGGTTTCGGCGATATTAAATTTGTTTGAATTCTTGGACGGTTTGATAACGCGATCTTTTTAACGCTACAATTTTATTTCAGGTATGTAAAATCTAACATACAGGGTGTTTCGTTTTCATCCCGCTGAACGGTTGAAACAGCATGTTCTGCGATTAATACATTGATTGACATACAACGACACCATGCGTTTCCTAAGCTAAAATCAGCAATAACGTCTTCGCAGGTTAATGCATGTATAAGGATGTAAAAAAATATTTTTCTACGTGCTTTGTACCGCCTTTTTAAACGCTTATATCCTGAATCAGAAGTGGCAAACTTCTTCTACCTCGGCTCCTCCACCATGAAAATTAGTTTCCGCAACGGGCCATGAAAATTATTTGTGTTTATCTTGTTTTGACTTTAACAGCTCTAATAAAGAAAACAATTTGTATGTATACATATGTTGTGACACTCAGCTGATAGTGGAGAGATCCGTGCAGTGGAGGGGATAGCGCCAGCAATGAGGAAAGTGGGGGCAAGGGCCGCCAGTTAGCCACCTCTGTTCTAGGTTACCCACTTCTACAATCACTGGTAAATTCTCGTCTGAATATTACAGAAGAAATGTCGTGTGCCAAAGGACTAAAAATGAGAAGAGGTTGTTAATTAGAGACGTAATTGCGTTATTACAATGATAAAGTTACAATGATAACATCAAAATATCTAATTGTGGCGATCACTGTACCGTTAAATATCAATTAATTGAATAAATTTATAGTTTTGGAATTTTTGTCACAACTTTTTAATAGAGATGTTGAGAAATTCATTTGTATAATGATGTGAGCCATCTATTAATATACAGCGGAATAAGCGTTTGTGAATGTCGTGATCGATGATCTTTTGTTTTAACAAATGAATAACGTATGTTTAACATGGACGGACGCTCCACGTGTTTCTTCAGTGTGCTTCGACGAATATATAAATAATATAATTGCTAATATATTGTCTGTAGTTTAACATAAATATATTTTGTGAATAATATTTACTTATTCTTCAAGAGTATTCACGGATCTCTATGTATATACAATATTCGTTTCTTACTATTGCTTATGGAGCATGCCGACGTCGTTTGACGGAATAAAAATGAACGAAAGTATAAATCTCTTGGCTGTTAATGACACAAAACCATCGTGAAACTTGGCAGAGAGGATTCGATGGAACAAATCTTGGATCGTTGTTTCTTCTGGCTCGGCCCAATTTTCAACGCAGGGCTCGCAGTAATTAATCGCAGAACAGGCGGACGCGGAACGAAAGTTCTTACGCAATCGGAATTACGCGTCATCCATTCAACCAGTGTACGTTCACCTCGAAACGTCGGCATCATCGACCCTTTCCTCGAAGAGAAGTTTCGTAAGCGGTCATTTATCCGCAGTCGTCTCGAAGATCGATGGGAGGCGGCGCGGAAAATTGCTTACACCGGTAGAAGACGGCTTGTAATTAAAAAGTCGACCGTCCGCTGATTCGTATTCATCAGTCTTGCCGAGCCGCGGGAAACTTTCCACGGTTCTTGGATCGTCCATCGAGAAATTACTAAGGGACTCGTCCTTCTTTCTTTCGTTTCCTCTTTCTTTATTCTCGTGCTCGATAACGGCGACGAGAATGAACTGGGCGATCGAAAGAAACTGCGAAACGAAACGAAAAAACGGAAGTTTTCGACGTTCGTAATGAACGCCGCTTAGTAAAAGATGTCTGGTCGAGTATCATTGTTAGCGAACAATGATATCCGCGTGGTCAATGGTAATATAATCATCGAAGCATCATGCTGTGATGAGCTGTGAGTTTTTGTGCAACTTTGTATTTTTAAAAATCAGAGAAATGGAATTTGGGCGAGATATTGTAATTCGTGAAATGAAATTTTAACGAGTTAATTCTCTTTTTAATTCTTAGCTTATTTCTCTCTTGATGGAAAATATTGGGATAGATCGGGGGAGTAATGGCTCATTTTTTAATTATTTTTTTTTTTTTTTTTGAATGAGTTTTAAATATAATCGAAATCTAAAAAAATATGTAATATATATTTGTAAAAGTAGGTATATATAAATTTATAAAGTAACAAGCAGAAAATTAAAAAATAATCATAGATTCACAAAAAGAAAGAAATAACGTCTCATTTGGATTGTCCGAGTCAAATAGATCGAGTGAAAAACACACATTTTCGGTTTGTTTAAAAGATTTTCTCGCAAGGTCTGCCCTAACAAAATATGAGTCAACTTCTATTCTATTCATACGGAGAAACACTTCTCAAATTATACGAACATAACCATATTCTTTCGATTATAATAAAATTTAAACAAAATTATAATCAAATTCGATTAACAATTGATAATTCGACGATTAACATTACCAATCGATTAAACGAACCGTCGATTTTTCGACGATTAATTTCCTTTCGTCAGAATCGACGATTAAATTTATTTACCGATTTAATCAATCGCCGATTCTTCCGCGGTGAATTTTATTAGTCGTAAACCAAATCGAGCGATTTTGGTCGTAAACCAAAGATTTTGATCGATCAATGTCCAACTCTGATCTCGTGTTTCTTCTTGGTTGGACGAACTGCGTTTCGGTCGACCAAATAGCTCGGAAATAAATGGCACTTGGTGTTTCACAAAGTTCCTAGTACGTTCGCTGGTATCGCGTGAGTCGACGGATGAGCGTAAGTAACGACGATTCCGAGAAGTTGTCGGGTTGGCTGGAACCCGAAGTTAGATGAAGAGAGAGAGAGAGAGAGATTCAGCTTTTTGCTAGGCGAGTAACTCGATGCGTGAAGTGGATGCTTCGGTGGTACGCGATCCTTATTTATGAGAAATCACGAGACGAGATTGAAAGGATGAAGATGTTGAGAAACGAGAAACACGCCTGCCGTCCTCGAGATCGCGTTTTAGAAAGAAGCCTTTTGAATTTATATCCGCGCGTAGTTCCTCGAATTTTTATATCCACCAGGCTAGTCATAGGTGACCTACATTTCCTTCGCGAGGGATCCGCGAAGAAATTAAATATTCCGTTCTTTTTGCTCCCCCTCGACTCTGAGAATATAGAGATCTTGTGCGGGAACACTATTTTTCATTAACTTCGCGATTAATTATATCCTGGTGATTTTTCAACGCTGTAACGTTGCAAAAAGAAAAAGAAAAAAAATGAAAAAAGAAAAATCAGTTGTTCCGCGCGCCAGTATCATTTCGAAGGCCGAAATAATTAACGTGCTTCATTTAAAGTTTCACGCGTAATATCGCGTTACTGATATCGAGTTACGCAAAAGAATAAAGAATCTTCAGCGCGGAGTTTCGTAATGTTAATAATAAAAATAAAATGGTATACAAATGCAACCGCGAAATTTCATATTCGCGAGGTGCATTTCGCGAGAAATTTCATCTCGTCAAGAATTGCGCGTGTTTCTACTTCGTTTTTCACATTGGTACGTAATTAACAAGCATAATTCGAATGAGATGAAATCCGTGCGAGAGAATTCGCGAATTCGTAGAGTCGACTGACAGATAGGACAGATTCCACGAGTCTGTATTCTTTC